GAAATAAAATATTATGTTTGATAGGAAGAAGTTATACTTTTACTTTGGGGAGCCAGTGGGACTATTCCTTTAAGTAGACCTAATTATGATTGGGATTTGTTTGACTTTGGGTTAATCACCTGCAGTTGCTGCCACCTAGGCAAGCCCTCATTATAAATTAATGATGGGGTCTGCAAAGAGAGTAGATAGCGAGTCCTGAATACACGCTGAATGCAGCAGCGTGCCCTGAGGAATAGTCAGAGGAGAGGTGCCACCGGAGCATATCGTACCTGTATTTAATTTGTCTTTATGCAGTTACTCTGCGTGAGCTATTCTGTGCTGCTTTGGTTGTGCTCAGTGATCCCTGTAGACTGCCATGCTTACACCATCTTGGATAGGCAGTCTCGCTGGTGGCAGTGGAGAGGCCGCGAGATGAGCACTTTTTCTAAGGTGCACATTCAGAATGAACCCTTTTAGACCATAGGTTTTCCTTCTGTTAAATGCTACCGTATTTCAGCAAGCTTACTAAAATGGAGCATGAACACCAAGGATCGAATCACTCTTGCTCTCTCGTTGGGCTTGAAGTCAAGAAAGGCCTTTCCCGGGACTTTATTGGGACATCACTCTGTTGCCCAAAATTAGCAATATGATGTCTGTGTTGATAAGGAAATATTAGATTCACATCTTATTATCTGACAGTAGGTTAATGTAAAAAATACAGTATTCTAACAGATGCCGCTAGTGCAATAGCCTAATGTAGCAAGTGCACCAAATGTGCTCCAGCACTTCTGACACAATTTTCTTAAGTGATGATGTATCCTAATTGAAACTTACTAAAATTATGTTTTCTCCTCCAACTGGCATGCAAACATACCAAACTATGTGTTTTGTGTACGCGTGATTTATGAATATGAGATGTGCATTCCTTTTGGCTTTCTCCTCTGTGGTTTAAATTTGAAAATAAGATTGTATCCCTCTGAATATTAGCCCAGTGAGTGAATCCAGTTCCCAGGTATGTATTAACTCTCCCTCATCACTCATATAGCCAACTGTAAATTCAAACTTGAAGGTTTGCATAAAACATTTTTAAAAATCTAAATCTAAAATTTTTGCAATCTAAAAGTCTGTTATAAAAAAGTAGTGTTACAGTCTGCTTTTTAACTCATGGAGTAAATCTCTAGAAATCTTCAAAGAAAGTCCTAAATATTTATTTTTACGATTGTATGTTAATTTGTATATATTATATCCTTGTATCATGTAATTCTTTTATTGAACCTTTTTTCTGGTGAAACCCAGAACATTAGAAAAATACAAAAAGAATGGCAATATACAACCCATGTAACTGCCATCCAGGGCAAGAAATGAAGCATAGCCATGAACCCCAGAGGCCCCCAGCATGCCTTCCCAATTGCACTATTCCTTCTCCCCACCCCTAGAGTTAACCACAATTTCAACTTTTATTTTGATCACTTTCTTGCTTTCTTTATAGTTTTACCACCTGTTCATGCCTCTGAAATACTATGGTTTAGTTTTGCCTCGTCTTTGGTTTTTGGTTTTCATCTTGTTGTTGTTGAAATGAACATAAATGGAAGGATACAGCTAAGTATCCTTTTAGGTTCAGCATTTTTCACTCCAAGTCATGTTTGTAAACATAGTTACATTTAGTTTTTATTGATGTATAGTGTATATATACTGACGTACAGTACAGTTGCTTTACTGTATGAACTCACCACAAATTATCCATTCTGCTGTTGGGGGCCATTATAAATAATACTGATATGGACATTCCTTTGTATGTCTCTTGATAAGCATTGCACATATATCTAATGAGTATATACTCATATATAGGAGTGGAATTGCCGGATCATAAGGCATGTGAATTTTTAACATTTTTAAAAGCCATATCACTTTACCACCAGAGGAATATGAGAATCCCCATTGCTGTGTGTCCTCACCATTTAGCCCATTTATTTATTGTATAGTGTTACCTCAGTTGTTTTAATTTCCATTCCTTTGATTACTATGAAGTTGGGCATCATTTCATATATTTATTCGCCATTGTTTTATGAACTTGTTGGTTCAGGTGTCTGACTGTTTGTATATTGTGTTGTCTTTTTCTTATTGATTTCTAGGTGTTCTTTACCTATTCTGAATTTGAGCTAATTATGGAACTATGTGTATCACAGACCTCTACTCTCACTTGGTTGTTTGCGTTTTTACCATCCTAAATGTCTCTGTTGAAGCTCAGAAACTCGTAATTTTAATGTTGTCAGATTCACTGAACATTTTGTTTATGATTAATGTTTTTGTGCCCTCTTTAGGAAGTCTTTCCCTACCCTGAAATCATGAATATAGTACCCTGTGTTAATGTATAGGTTTATTGTTTTATGTTTTATATTTGGATCCAGAATTGAGTTTTTGATATGTTTTTAGGTAGGGGTTAATTTTCATTCATTTCTGTGTGGATAACCCATTGTTTTACCACCCGTTATTTTTAAAACTATCCTTTCCCCACTGCTTGGTAGTTTCACCTTTGTTGTAAATTAAGTGTCTATATATAGATAGATTGATTTGTGGGCTTTCTGTTCTTTTAGTCTGCTTTACATTACTTTTGTCACATTGTCTTACGTGATACAGCTTTATAGTAAATGTTGATACTCACTAGAGCAAGGACTCCTACTTTGCATATTTTATTTTATTATTTTTACTGTGGTTAGAACATTTAATATGATGTCTCCCTTTAACAACATTTTCAGTGTACAATGCAGTATTAACTCTAGGTACCGTGTTGTACAGCAGACCTCTAGAATGATTTATCTTGCATAACTGAAACTTTATACTCACTGAACATAGCTTTCCATTTCTCCCTCCACCCAGCCCCTGATAGTCCTCATTCTAGTCTCTGCTTCAATGAGTGTGACTATTTTAGATACCGCACGTAAGTGGAATCTTGCAGTATTTGTCTCTGAATGGCTTATTTCACTTACTGTAATGTCCTCCAGGTTCATCCATGTTACCACATGGATGAGCCTTTTTAAAGGCTGAATAATATCCCGTTGTATTTCTATACCACATACAGTGTAGAATTAGCTTGTCAAGCTCCACAAAGAATTCTATTGAGATTTTGATTGTGAATACATCAATTTGGATCAATTTAGAGAGAATGTTAGAAAAATTGAGCCTTTTATTGGGTTATCAGAAGAGTCATGATGTATTTTTTCTATGTTTTTCATTGCAAAAACGCATCATGACTTCTCCGACAATCCAATAATATGTTGAAATAGTATATCTATGTACTTTTATTTATTTTCCCCCCATTGTCATCCCCAATTTCAAAGGGGAAATATTAAAAAATTTTTCTATAGGTGTGATTTACAGGTTATTAGATTTGGTTTGTTAATCATTTATTAAAGGCTTTGAATCTAGGTTCATGAATGAAAAATCTTGTAATTTTTTTATAATGTCCTTTTCAGATTTTAGTTTGAATGTTTTGCTAGATTCTTAAAGGAAACTAGGGCATGTTTCCTCCTTCCCTACTATCTGAAAGAGTTTGGGTGAGACTGGCATTATTCATTAGAGTTCACTATTGAAGCCATCTAGCTAAAGTTTTTTAGTTTTGTTTGTTGTTTGTTTTGGAAAGGTTTTTAATTGCAAATTCGACTTCTTCAATAATACTTTTTAGATATTCTTTTTCTTCTCATTTCCAATCTGGTTATAGTTTTCTAGGAATATGTCTATTTCATAAAAATTTCAAATCTATTTGAAGGAATCTGTTCATACTATCCTTTTATCTTTTTATGCTCTATAGAATATGTAGTGATGCCTCCTTTTTCATTCCTGATATTTATTATTTGGGCCTTCTCGCTCTCTCTTTTTCTTAATTGGACTCTCAAACGTTTATCTATTTTTAGTAGTCTTTTCAAATAACTTGTTTTCATTATCCTTTAGTTACACATGGGTTATTTAGAAGTGTATCCTTAATTTCCAAATATATAGGGATTTTTTTTCTTCACTGGAAGATAGCTTGGATTTCTAGTTGATTAAAAAACATATTCTGAATGATTTCCATCATTTGAAATTCATTGTTATTTGCTTTATTTTTGTAAATATTTTTGTAAAAATTCCACTGTGAGCTTGAGAAAAGGTATATTTCTGTAAGGTATATATGGTATTCTACATATTACCATTAGGTCAGGTTTGCTGCTTGTTGTGATATTCAAATCTTCTGTATCCTTACTGTATTTATTCGTCTATTTGGTCAGTTACTGAAGGAAGTGTGCTGACGTCCCCACTGGTTGGGAATGTACCTGTTTCTTTTTCTAGTTCTGGAAATTTTCCTTTCTATATTTTGAACCTATGTTATTAAATGCATGCAAATTTGGAATTATTTTATTTCCCTGATAAATTGAAATTGTTATTATTGAGTGTATCTCTTCATCTCTAAGTAATGGTCATTGCCTTAAAGCTAATCTTCACTGATATTAATGTAGCTACACAAATTTTCTTTTGGATATTGTTTGCAGGGTAAATATTTTCCCATCCTTTTCAACTTTCTCTATCCCTGTGTTTTACATATTGGTTTATAAATAGAAAATTGTTTATTTAATCAAAGTGTGCCAATCTTTGTCTTTAAAGAAACAGTTAAGACATTTACATTTAATGTAATTGAGTCTAAATCTGTGTCACTCTTTTAAAGTCAATAAGTCTTTAAACAATTTTTGACATTCAGAAAATAGTTGATTAAACACCTGTGAGTTTAAGAAATTTATTTCCTCTGATTTGTATATAAATATGAAGGGATTTATGAAACCTTCCCATCTCCTATTATTTCTTCAACTGCTCTATAATGAAAAGAGGTCCGGGGACTAAAATGTGTGAGAACAACATGTCTAATCTAGTATTTTGGGTATTTTGCTTGCAACTCTTGTCTATTGTGATTTACCCGCCTAATTCCAATAAAATGGCATTAACAAAATATCTTTTTTTACAAAATACTATAAAGATTTCACTTTTGATTATAGGGCTGTGACTCCCAAATGAGCATGTCAGAAGTGTCCTGTAGTGAAAGTATGTCCTCATGTCATTCTCTCGAACACGGCTCAGTTCCAGAGCTTCTCATTGGCCTGCTTTATAGTGCCACAACTGGAAGACTATCAGCGGAAGTCATAAAAGGCAGCCACTTCAAAAACTTGGCAGCAAACAGACCACCCAGTGAGTGAAAAAAGATCTTTTTTAATTCTAATGTTTTCTGCACTTATGAGACTTTCAGTGTTAGGGCCTTCAATCCTATCATTTAGTTTAAACTGATCAAAATGAAATGGAGTAATCATCAGCTAATCTGTTTTATGTTTTCTATTTCCAGTCATTTAGGAAGTAGAAAAATTTGAAATTCAAAATATTAATTGTAAGGTGACAAGAATCTTAATTAATTTTTCATAGTGTCAGCAGAATAAATTATTCCTATCATAGCTGTTATCTTCTAATGCCAGAAAAAGTTACAGGGTTTTTTAAGTTAATAATATTTCACAAATATAATCAGGAATACGTATAGCTACTGATATTACCTGAAGACAAATGTTGTGTTTTCTGTCTGCATGCAGCACTATGAAATAATGTATAAACTTCTATGGCTATTCTTTTTTTCTCACATAACAATTTAAGAAGCAACCGTTTCTTCACAGTTTTCCTACTTTAAATTATAAATCCACACTGCCACCAGATTCTTTTCCTAAATGGAATGTGCTTTGCCTCTACCCGGACAAACAAAATAAAGAATTTTTATACTTATCCTAAATGCTAGGAAAGGAAAGCTAGATGGTAAACCTCTGCCCTGCTAGTCCTCTCACTCTTCTGTCTCCTTATCCTCTCCCAGCCCCCGAGGTGTGGGTAAGTTATGGGAATACAGATAAATTGTCACCCAATATTCCCCCCCAAACTGTTGGTTTATATCTGTAGAAATATACTGGGAAAGTGGCAGCTTCTTTATACTTCTCTAAAATTAAAGCTGTGAATGCCCTAAACTAAAAATCTGAAAGGAAATCTTGAATAATAATGGCCACCTTCAGTTTCTTTAAAGATTTCTCACAGACTTGCTTAAAGCAATCTTTTACTCCAGGTATCAAATAATTCTGGAAGGAGGGGCAACTTTTTCCACCCCTGAATCAAATTAACTTTACCTGTAAACATCCTAAAAATTCTCTTGTCAAAGTGAAAAGCCATAAATGAGAACATACTTGGTTTGCCCTCAGTAGCATTGGAAACCTTGCTTTTTTACATGTGTCATGGACTGTATCTCTCCCTGAATGAAAAGTCAAAAGGCCAAAAGTATATTTATACTTCTACCCTTAGACAAGTGCCCTAATTCCCCTAAGTCTGTTTCCTTGTATGTAAAATTAAGGTTGTCTCTCACAGGGTAACTGTGAGACTCCCATCAGATACAGGGGCATGAAAGAAGGATGGAATTACCATTGTCTACTTTCTCTTTTCAGAAGGGAAAATTCAGAGGGAGGCAAGAAGCAATTACTAGAATAAACAGTGTGACTTGGTTATCTTCATTAATACATGCTTAGAATGCAAACTCAAATGGCCTGAGAAGTAACTTAAATAAGCAAAATTTGTAGATTAAAACTAAGGAGTATGGAGGCCTCTGACAAATGCGAGGTTGCACACCCTACATTAAGAAGTTCAGATTCAAAAATTTTTTGAACACTGAAACAGATAAAGAAAATATTATTTAGAGTTGCATTTAGCCACAAGCTATCAGTTTGCCATTCCTGCTTTAGCTAATAGTTTGATTTTTTGACAAGTATTTAACTTGAGATGCTAAAAAGCAGCAGAATGAAATGTTCGCCTTTCTGTCCTTGTTCTACCCAGCCTGATAGAAACAGAGAAACATTAATGAGAACTAAAATGAAGGGGAGGGGTAGAGGCAGGGGCGGATAATAAACAGGTTGAGAGATTAGCATCCACAACATAAAGTAGGTTTTTCAGGTTTTACTCTTAAAGAGTAGGTTATAGCAATTTCCATTATTTTAGAATTAAATCTTCAGTAGCAGGATGTTTAGTTGGGAGGTAGCTAGTAGGTAAATATAAGTTGACATTAAAATTAATTATATGAGGTATTTATAAAGTAAAATATAAGACAGTTTTATCAGTTTGTTTTATACTGTATATATTATATAAGATTGTGACCCTTCATATATACCTGGGTTCTAAGCTTTGAGCTGTGTTGTAATCCAATTTTTATCCAAAGAAACAATGGCAATATTCAAGAGCAAATGATAGTTCTATTTTATTTTGCATACTTTAATTTTATATTATATTGAGAGTAATAAAAGCATTTGAAATATTAAATATTGCATGGATAAACTTTAACATTTAGCATAATAATAATGATTTTCCAATAATGACTTTTATTCAGTCTTTTATAGTCCAATAATTTGCATGATTCTATGTTCAATGTGCTTTAGACAAAGAGGATATCATTATAAAGATGTCCCCCTTTAAAACAGTGTAATTTTTGTTTAAGATTACACAGTGACCTTAAAAATTCTCATTCCATGAATTTTACCCAACAACCCTTTTGTTCAACCCTCTACCTGAATTAAAATGCTAAAGTTTTGTGTTCTTCCACTCCAGTGAACAGTGTTTCCTCTTTAATTCTAACCTTTGACCCTCTTTCACCCAACAATTGACATCTGGTCATTATTTCTTTTACTGCTTTCCACCCCCTGTTGTCAGATGGACTGTTCTGTTGTCTAAAACACTTGATAGGTGGACAGGTTTATATAATCCGAGGTGAGTTCCTGTAGAGGCTAATTGGATGTTGTCTTTTCATGCAGAAACAAAATACCCTAAAACTTGCCAGCAGTGAAGCTGTCCACCATGTTGGTTTCAAAAAAATGCACATTTATTATCTGTGGTACTTTAAATAAAACTAACTTAGAATTTATCTCTGATTATGGATGATGGTATTCAGAGTATCTATAAAACAAGCAAAACTTTTTAAATTAAAGGTTTTATTTTTCATTCATTATATTTTGATTCATACAACAGAAATAGTGACTTCATGAGAAATGCTGTAATTTTCATTAAAAATAATTGAAATTTTGATATGAAGTACACATGATGGAGCAACATGCTGAGGGTCACGTGCATGAGTCGAAAGAACTCGAAAACAGAGTTGTTTGAAGAGAGGGTTTATTTCCCAAATAATCAGGCAATAAACTGTTATGTTTCACTCTGTACACTAAACATCACATCAATTTTTTTTTTATAATTCATGAAAATAGTTAAGATACCATACTTAAAAACCTGACACTGAATTGTGCCAAAAAGGAATCCTATAATACTTATTTTAACTCTCCAAAAAGCACATTAAATGTACTCTTGCATGAACCAGAAGAAAGTTTTACTTGGTTTGCCGAACTTTGAGCCCTTAATGTATTTGGCTTCACTTTGGCCCTTAAATGTTTTTAAATACAATTAAAAACCACATCCATGCAGAGATTTTTTTGACATTTCATCCCAAGCTGTTTTTATGTCATCTTTGCATTCTTGTCTTCCTCGTTTCCTCTTTATCATCTGCCTTCATTTCTATTTGTTTGTTTATTCTTATTCTCTGAAAACACAGTGGAATGCTTTACAGTGTTGTGGCTAATTGAGCTTGCTAAGTGTTTATTAATGCTATGACGTCCTGCTTAGTGAAGCTAAATGGGGGGGACGGGGATGGGCAGGGTGGTCGGGGGGCGTGAAGGATGGGGTGGAAGGGTGGAGGAAGGATTATGAGGTATACCTTTAAATTCTAGCAATACTGTAGAAATAGCGAGGCTAAGATATGAGTGCCCCCCCAAAGATTTTCTGCCTTCCTAGCCTTCCCTGTACTTGTCACATTTTAGAAGCATCTACATCAAATGGAATTAGTTGGATTTCCATTAAACGTGGTATACACCATATCCTTATAACATATAAATAATCTCAGCGAATGTTACGAGAAAGATGTTTTTTAGTTTGTTTTGAATGACATCTGTGGTATGTTGTTTTTTTCTGTAGATACATATGTTAAATTAACTCTCCTGAATTCCATGGGTCAAGAGATGTCCAAATGCAAAACATCCATCCGCAGAGGGCAGCCGAATCCAGTATACAAGGAAACTTTTGTTTTTCAAGTGGCCCTGTTTCAACTGTCTGATGTGACACTCATACTGTCTGTGTATAACAAACGCAGCATGAAAAGAAAAGAGATGATAGGCTGGATTTCCTTAGGTCTGAACAGCTCTGGAGAAGAGGAACTCAATCACTGGACTGAGATGAAAGAGTCGAAAGGACAGCAAGTATGTAGGTGGCATGCACTGCTTGAGTCCTGATGAATGGGCCCCACACGCAGCTGCAATCCCAGGCAGCGTGATTTCCGATGACAACATTACTGTTTTTACCTAGTCACCATTAGAAGAGTTCTTCTTTGAAGAATCATCTTCAACATTCTACCAAAATGTTTTCAATTCTGTGGAAAGAACATCTAATACTGACATAAGTGAAGAAAGGGTGTGTGTCTGGTAGAGCTTGTTGGGGAAAATGAGAAACTTATCGTTGTTAAGCTAACAATCCTCCAGACCTTTAAGAACATGCTTTTGAAGTTCATTTTGCTTTAGCAAAAGAGCCAGCCATCTCACGAAAAAGCAAAGTTGTAAACGATTTTTTTCTATTAGAATTTTTAGTTGCGACACTCTTTTATCATTGCCCTACATATTATCCATAAAACATATTTTGACTGGTTCGTCCCTGGTATTTAAAATGTTCTTTTAATATGAGAAAGTAGTTCTCCAACTCCATAAGTCATAGTTAATGTTGAAGGGTTTTCACCACGTTGGAAATTGTTTCATTGCAGATGTCTTCCCCTTGTGCACTCAGTTTCATCGTGCCTCGGTTCTTCTCAGCAGCACTAACTCTTCAGTGCAAGCAAGATTTCATTTTCACCAAGGAATTTTTTGAATATGTTCTTTTAAAAACTCATTTCTTCATTTACCTCTGCTTTTGCGTGATCCAAAGAGACCAAGTCACTGTACTGGTCCCTGGCGAGTCTCTTAGGCAGGTTGTACTGTAGAACTATGTAGCTTTCTGTTGAAAGCACTCCCTGTATTCCTGTATTCCAATGTAGGAAGCTAATAGAGCAGGACCTTACTTGCAAATGTCTTTCAATGATTGACTCTTTCAAATTGTAGTAATGTGCAAATACGTTTTTTACAAACTAAAAAATCTAGTAGGTGAGCTGTTAAAAATTGAACACAGTTCGGTTAAAGAAAATTTTAATGATCTGCTCTGAGTATTTTAGTACCCAACACTGCGTAAAGCAAGTAGCATTCGAATAAAAAAAACGTCGTCTCTCTAAATCTTCTTCACTTTTACTTCAATTTGTATTTGTGATATAAAGACTCTCCAGTTCTCGGTTTGAACCAGAATATCATGTTCAAAACAGCTCTGAGATTCCTTATGAAGTTTCTAGTGACTTGTGACTAGATTTTATGAAATTTACAGATACGTTCTTCAAGTGATGTCATCCTGTGCCTTTCACGTAAGTTAAATTTGCTTATACAGCTTGAAAGCTGTATTTGCGAAAGTAGGCCTTCGATTTTTATAAATGTAAAGATTCCTCAGAACAGTGTCACAAGCTCTTTATTTCCTCTGAAGTATGCAAAAGTTATAAAATGTGCTGTTTTTTAAATGGCAATGCATTTTCAGTAGTTGTTTTTATATTTAGAAACTCTGGTTAATCAGGAATATTATAAGCTGTTTTCTTTTTAATTTTGCTTCTTACCTAATATATAATTTTATGCATTTACTTTATTAAATAGGATGTTTTATATATGTGAAAAATTTCTTTTTCTCTTTCTAATTTCTAGTTAAACTAGACAAAAACAAACAACTTACCAGTTACTAAAAAGTAGTATGTCATTGTTCCTAGTTCCAACTAAGTACTACATATTATTGTAAGCTACTAGAACTTGTTATTACCATAATAACAAAACCATGCATAGATATTATTATTTCAACTTAGCTGTACTGAAAGGCCTTAAAAGAAATCCAAAAAGACAGTGAGCTCCTAATATTTTTTTTGTTTAAAAAAATGGCAGCTCTATGCATTCATACACATGAATTATAATAAAATACAAATGCTAGATTGGGTGATATGAGGTTTAAGAATGTATGTTATATAGAGTTACATTAAAGGGGAAAATTCATTCTTTTATGGTTATATTAATCAGCCTTTCCAGGGTTTTTTTATAAATGTGTTCGGTTATAAAGTTAGGACATGAATCAAATGGCACAATATCTCATGCAAGTATTTTCAGCAGCAGTATGGAAAGCGATTTGAAGGGGGATGTAGATTTTACTGAGAAATTAGGTTTAGGCATTTGATGCTACAAGTATCTGTTCTGGGTTTGAAACAACTGACTGCATTGCTAACTAGGAGCTTCATAATAAAAAGTTACAGTCTTATTTGTAGCTGTAACAAAACCTCATCAAACATGTTATAAAACCAGCCTGGTGCTTTCTCCCCCAGTGAGGAAAAGACCTAGCTAGTTGTTATTTCTTAATGCCCAGAATTGTGTGTGTGCTTTGACACATCCTTAGGGGTTTGCCTTGTATAAGTATCAAATCCAATATGACCTAAAAATTAATTAACAATTTAAAAAACTTTCAAGAAGGACCTGACCTCCATTCCAGCTGCCTAGTCCTCAAAGATTATGAATTATGTATATGTGTACCTGTATACACATGCACATACCTGCACACACGCCACACACACACACACACACACACACGTATGTAAAGGTGAAGATGCCCTGGCTTTTTCAGATAGCTAAATAGAAAAACATCAAGTTTATGGGTTATTTTTCTCCTCTGTATACTTGCTAGAAATTATATTTGGTTTGGGGTGCTATTTGCTGCCATTCTCTTCTACACACAGCAATATATATATTACACACATACACAGAGGGTGCCAAAAATAGGTGTACACATTTTAAGAAAGGAAAACTGTATTAAAATTGTAATACTCAATATATACCATTAACAAAAGATGAATACCAATCACGTTTGACTTTTACAATTACAAGTGGTGCTCAAAGTGGTTACCATCAGCGTCCAGACACTTCTGATTACAGCAAACTACTGCTTGAGCCACGTTGACCAAAGTGTCCACCTGTATACATTTTTT